GAGGAGGAGGAGGAGGAGGAGGAGGAGGAAAAGGAGGACGAGGAAAAAAGTGCGGAAAGATGGGCTCTGATGGTAGTTGAAAACAAAGATGTTGTGAATGAGTTTGAAGATTTGGACCGACTCGTAGACCTGGTAGTTGAGTCTGCTGGTTTGATGAGAGAGGTGGATTCAAAAGAGTTGTCGGATGATTCGAACCCGGATGCTCAGAGCTCGAGCAGACAACTGGAGAAAGCACAACCCTCTTCAATGGTGAAGAGGGTGCGGGGAGCAAAGTGGGTACTATATATACAAACAGAGGTACAGAAATCATGAATAGTGGTATTATGATTATTCTTATTTTTTGTTTTATGGTGAATAACACCTAACACAACCTAACAATAGCATAAATTTAGTGTACATGAATACAAAAAACAAAGGATTTATCCCTTTATTTGTTTTAGGGTTAATATAAACAACAATATTCAAAATGCAATCCTTCACAAATTTAACAAAAATATATGAATTAGATATGATTTTTAGACTCCAAACTTTTCATATAATACATACACTACTTACTACTTCAATTTTTCGCTGGAAAAAGCCCCGATGTTGCCGGAAAAATCAGAATTTTTGGACACAGAAATAGATATTTTTGGCTGGAGAAACTGGGATTTTTGGCCGGAAAAATCCCCAATGTCGCCGAATTTGTTGCCTCCGGATAATGCCCCAGGGTCCGGTTTGTATTTCATGTCTCCGACGAGAGGAACCTGCAAAAAAAAAAACAAAAAAAAAAATGGCGCCGACGAGATGTATTTCAATGTCTGATTTTACCGAGCAACATACTTCCTCAACGAGTGATTTTCCCCCTGTTGCATTGCCATCAAAGTTAAATAAGTCTTCTCCTGCACCACCTCGCTCGCAGATTGATTCACCAATTTCTCAGCAAAGTCCTCGAAATCTATGATTTATCTTGGGAGAAGCTGATGGAACCAATCGAGTGCCCCTACCCTCTGGGTCGGAAGAACTGCAGTACAACTAACCGGGTCAGAATATCCGTGCAAAACCGTCATATTCTTGAACGTCCTCACATCCCTCGATGGGTTAGTCAACCCGTCGAATGCCAAACTCATCTCTACGAAATTCATCGACAATGGTTCATCTAATATCTCCCTCGATAATGGGTGTCTTCGATCGTGCCTCATTGATCAACCATCC